CACGCCCCGACTCCCCTCAAGCACCAGACAGTCACAGCCAAGCATGTGGCCTTGTCAATCTTTGCAACAAATCTTTGCAAGGCTCTTGCAGGAGCCCTTGGTCAGTGCTAGGGCCGCTGGGTTTAAGGGCTTCAGGGGCTTACGGAAAGTCCTGGGCCCCAAGGTTGCGTTGATGGAGAAGGGCTTGCAGGGTCTTGATGGTTATTAGGCCATGTAGGATCTTCCGGATCTCTGTTCGGGGGTTTCATGCATGTATGATATTACTGTTCTCAGGGCTTACAGGATTTAGGATTTAGTGCGGGGTTGGACTGTGAGGTTTTCATGGCTTGGGTGTTCGGTGTCTTCGGTGTTTTAGGCCTCAATTTTTTCTTCTTGTTGAAGAGTAAGTAGAGTTTTGGGTCTTGAGGGTTTTGAGGGTTTGGCGGTTGAGTTTACAAGTTTTTGGGATTTGGCTGGGTTCGCGTAAAATTAAGTTAAGAGGTTTCAGGGTTTAGGCTCAGGGCTCTTGGAGTTCATGGTTTGCTTTTTTGGGGTTCAGCGGCACTTTGGGGCATTTAGGGTGTAGAGTTCTTAGGAGGTACTGTTCATTTCTGTCTAGGTGTTTGGGGCTTTGGCTGTCTTTGGTGTTTTGGGCTTAGGTTTTCAGGACTCAGGGGCTTGAGATTTCAGGATGTGCGTTTTGATGCTTTTGGGATTGGGCTTTCGGATTCGAGGAGTTTCGAGCCAGAAAGGTGTTGAGGGGTTGAGGGCTTTATGTTTAGGGTAGGATTTGCAGGTTTAGGGCTTCAATTGGAGCAATTTCCATGACTGACGGGCTATAGGGAGCCCAGGGTTTACGCTGTTGGGGACCGGGGGCGCTTTAAGCTCTATGGGGTTTTGGGCTTGGGGCTTTTGGAATTACGAGGCCTTTGGGGTCCAGGAGATTTGGAATTCTTAGGATTGAGAGCTTTGAGGGTTTAGGGTTTTCTAGCACATAGGATTTCAGGATTTATAAGGGCTTTTGTCCTTGGATGTCCGAAGTGTTTGGCTGTTTATTTCGTGAGTGTGTTGGGGGAATGACTTGACAGGGAGCAGCATCCCAGGGCGTCTCGAGTCTTTAGAAAGGTCTTGGTAATGCTTAGAAAGACTCAAGGCGTGTTTAGGGCAGAGCATTTACCAAGAAACCATCAAGGTTGAGTGCTTAGCAAGTGCTTAGCGACTGCTTAGCGAGCTCAGATGCACCCCTGTTCGACCCCGCTCCCACGGCACTCGCATGTTTGTTCACCTACTTCAGCAAGCTGGGCAAGACCATGCCAGCCGCAATGGTTCAGGCATCGGCTAGATTTGCGCAACGCAGCACGGAATTCCATATGAACTGACACACAGTTCACACAGGCTAGAAACCAAGGTGCCCATATCATTAATTGCCAGAACTTGCAGTCAAGATACAGTGAAGCATCCAGTATCAGTTGCCTAGGCCATGAAGCGGAGACAACCCATGCAGGACCTCCTGCCAAAGTTGCCTGGTACAAGATCGAACTCGACCAATGCGGTGTTGCCCTTCAACATAGCGGCTCGAGTGACCGCCCATCCTGCACGCTCCTGATCAGTATACACAGCTTGCATGACTCGTCAGCTTGGAAGATCACACTGAGGTGCTGTCTACCACAGGAGAAACGGCCCCGCGTCTTCCTTGTCATTGCCGCTTTCAGAATATCCTGAAGACGGAAGTCTGCCCAAACTACATCCTCTACTCCAGCATCACTGCTTCCAAGGTACAGAAGCAATCCAGAAGACAAGGCTGCTCCACTTTGTCAACAGAAGTTCAGACCACCAATGATGAGAGAGGAACCCAACAACCTTGGCTGCTCTTTTTTGTTGACTTCCAAAGATGGATGTAAGGAACCCGAAGCGATATGAACTGCCCCAGTGCGGCAGAAAACTTCAACCAAGGAACTGTCTCACAAATCCCTTCAGCTTTGCCACCAGCATCCGCCTGGACTGTAGGCTTCAAAGTAAACGGTGCTCAAGGGCAAGTGGATTCCTGAAATTATCCATTAGGATCCCCGTGTATGCCCCACTCCCCTGTAAGCACTATCAAGTAAACAGAAGACGGAATGCTCTGAGAGCTGCCAAGGAGAGGAGGCGGAGAGCCAGTTGCCCAGGCTGGCCTTGGCATAGGCTTTAGGACTCAGGGTTTATGAAGGGTTTGCATCTTTATCTGGCACTGATATGGGGTGGGACGAAAATTATTTTGGGGAAGTAATCTCTATGCAATCCTACGTAGTCCCAGTTTCTATTCGATTCTCGAATGAGTTTGCCTTTGATTCTGCAACTATGTGTATCCTGCAAAACCTCGGTCAAACCTATCAGGGGAAGTGACTGCGTGCATCAAGTGACAATCGAGATCCTTCGGCCGGCTCGCCTAGGTCTTGGTACTGCACAGGCATCGCGACTGTCACGTCTCTAGAGGTAGGTGGCGGTCTCGCCGGATCCCTTGAAAGGGCATAGACTATAGAAAGGGATTTTCATGGATACATGATACATGAAGTGTGGAGTTTCCACGACTAGGAACTTGGGCCCCCCCTCTGTCGCAGGCTTACACATACACTTGAAAAGCCTTCACACGAAACAACTTGAGAACGGTTGGAAGTCCATGGCCTGCCCGGCCCATGCCCGAAGGTCATAGCTGGAGATTGTCGACTGCCTCCATCTTGTGAATTGGCCGGATGCGTCTTTCCACAAACGATCCCACTCAGCATGCCTGCACTCATCCGCTCTCACTTTCCAAGCAAAGAAACATTTCTGGCACACTTCTCCTGCCTGCAAAGAAGCTCGTCACCAGCACTTGCAACATGTCGGGGAACATCGCCTGCTCCATCACCAGCCTGAGGCTCGAAGACGAGGCTACCCTTTACGCAACAACACACCTCGTTGGAGATTGCATGAGAAGGGACTGAAGAAGCATATGCAGCCTTCAGCCTAGCTTAATTCGTCAAGAGTTCCAGACGTCAGAGAATACCAGCATGAAGCTTCTTTCCTACAAGGAGGATAGATGATGGCGACAAGATGTGATATTGCCTGAGAGGCAACCTGCCTTGTGGCAATTTGAGGCGCAATGCCGCCCGTGACTTGCTGCTTGGGCTTCCAACCCATAAAGCAAGCCATGAATGACGTTTCCACGAACCCCCGGACATCAATCCCCGACATAACAGCGGGAGCCTCTACATACGCAAACGCTGCGACCAGGCGAGGCCATTGCATGGCTAGAGACTTCCATTGCTAATTCTGAGGTTACGAGAAGGTGTCGTAGCCCCGAAACCGAGTCGACAACAGTCAGAGTGCTGCTTTCACTCTACATCACCGAGCCTCGAACACACACCAAAGCACGGTGATATGCAAACCGGACAGGTGCAAACAAGTGCCGGCCAAGATTGTTGCTTCCGCTGCTTTGCAAGGGTCTGTACGTCGTAGCAACCATTTTGGTTGCTCAGATCTGTGCCAAGCCTCAAACAATGTGTGAGCAGGCTTGCGCCAGCTGAGCTGCTGACTCTCTGGGCTCATGACAGTGCCATCAAGAAACATCAAGGTATCGATTAACAACATGAAGAACATAATGCGGCTTTGGGATGCTGCCCAAAAGAAAACGATAAGTAGACCTTGCTAGGCTCGTCCACCACAGAATAGCCACCTGAAGGCTATTCATGCTAGTCCCTACAACACCCTCTATGATATGCGCCTGCTAACCCATCCCCCAAGAAGCACCAGCTGGCCTAGTGTCTCAGATGAGGCCAACCATTGCTGCAAGGACAACACCGCCGAGCAAGAATCTGACGCGCCATTTCTGGTGCTCAGTTGCTCAAGAAACAACACATGTCAATCATGCCGGCAAGACAAACGATTTCTGCCCTCTGTCAGGTACAACACCCTTGGACAAATGTCTTACTGGTGCTTTCGAGGGACTATGCTACCCATCTATGCCCTTCTTATGCTACCTATCTTCATTTTCCCGCAGCCTCCCAAGCACCAGTAAGACGCGTCGCATCCAAAGCTTTCCTTTCAGACCAACCTTGGCCAAGTTGCGGCAGCACGAAAATTGCCTTGGCCATGAGGAACTGCCTTAGCTGTCTGGATGCAGGGCAAGTCTCTATCACATTTGCAGAGGGTTCAGATGGATTATGCTGAGCGGCACTAAGATGGAGAGGACCGACATGAGGAATACGAAGCCCTCAGAGTCACACAAGTGCTAAGTTGCTGCAATCTCAAAGCCTAGTCACCTGCTTAACGTGTGCAGACAACGCCTGCCCTGCAAACTGCGGTCACAAGCTTTGGGGATGCTGAGCCTAATTAGCATGTTCAGCACATCTCTAGAAGACCCAAGTTAGGACACAGAATGGACTCACTCGCCAAGTTGAATTGCTTTGTGTGAGCACAGGGCGAATACCACCACAACCGGCAGTAGAGGACCAAGTGCCCCAGCCTTGAAACGCAGAAAACGGCTTCAAAGCACAGGGGCCTGGAAGGGAATGGACGTACCAGCGAGACAATCACAACCCTGAGAACCCAGCTATGGCTTGCAGGGGCGCAACCCAGGACGGCAGATTTTCTGCCCCACGGCTTGTGTCCTCCAAGTTTGAACTTTGCATGCTGAAAGGGCAAGCATCAGATCGTGCCTCGTCTTCTGACTCAGTTGCTCGGTTTCTTCTCCGCATGCCTTGCCAGCATACCCAGCTTTGCAGAACTAAGTAACTCACTTCTTACGACTGCTTAGAGGGAAGCAGGGGGACGGTTCCTTACAATTATTTCTCGGAAATCCCAGAAATTTCTGATTATCGTAGCAACATTAGATTCACTCCCCCACTGCCCTGTGAGCACCGGTAAGACATGAAAGAATTGAATTTTGCCAACCAGGTCATCAAGCATACTAGCAAGCCGTGTCAGCGGCAGACATGTACGCATTGCACAACAGGTCGGCATTTGGGTTACAGGACTCTACGTACTCGAATGTCCCAGATCTGCACTCAGGAAAGCAGCCCACAGTTTGACACCTTGACTTGACACTGACGGCCTGGATGCGAAGTTGAAAAAGTAAAGCCTCCCGGACCTTGCAAACTGCACTCCACTCAGAACCAGGTTAGACGTCACAACAAACGATTTGGTGGAAGCAAGGCCCCGGCCCCCTGATGTGAAGACAAACGTTCCAGGACCAGCCCTCGGCCAAAACAGTGTGTCATCAATTTGGGGTCTTCTCGCATTCCTTTTTTCACAGGCCTGACAAAGTTGCGCCCACCAAACTGCGGGTTCATCCCGGGCATGCCACCTGCAAAGAAAGCCTCCAGAGGAACAAGCAAATCATGTGATGCAAGCATGCACCAAATGTTCAAAGAACAAGCAGCTTCAAAGATGTCTTCCGGCGAAAACCCTGGCGAACCAGAACCTCCACCTTGACCACATGCACTGCTGGGTAACGAACTCGCACATAGCTTGAGATTCGCGCCCCGAAGTGCATCTGCTCCATACTGATCGTATCTTTGCCTAACCAGGAAGGGCAGCTATATCCAGAAACCATTAGCATCATGGATTATACGACTTGATCGGTCGAATAGCCCAACTTGCAAGCAGCATTCCAAAAGCTCTTCTTGGGTTGGCTCAATATCGGCTCTATCCTTTGCCGTTTTGTGTATAATCCGGAGTGAGCGAGTATAACTCTACTATATCTTCCTCGTCATATCCTGAAAAAGCACCTTTATCCCCTCTCCCACCAGTGCGTGTTCTCACCAGTTCACTTCAGTACTGGTTCCCCTGTCCTTTTGTCGGCGTCGCTGAGCACTGAAAAAGCTTCGCCCACTTTCTTAAAAGCCTCCATCGCAACACTGGACATGCCGTGCCATTTGGACTCAAACATGGTAGTCAAGTGTACAATCTGCAAGTATCTCCAAACAACCTCTTCTGCACCATCTTCTTTGCATTTGTCTGGGTGCAGTCGTAAGGCGAGCTTGCGGTATGCCTCTGTAAAGGCCAGATCAGCATATCAAGTGCTCATACCACAAAACCTTCGACCTTCTTTATGTCATCATCGCCAGCATTCTTTTCAACACCTGCGCCAAGGCCAACGTGCAGCATCTGGAGAGGGCATAATTTTGTCTCCGCTTGCACTTGCGGCCTAGGATATGGTAATAGTCGTCACCAGCACCAGAAACTTTTTTGATGGCTGCAGCTGCCTGGAACAACATGGCATACACCCATGAACGAATTACTCCATTTCCACACCTCTGTGGACATGGTGCTGGACGCAAAGCTTGAACATCTGAGCCGATTTTATGCAAATCATGACAAAGTTTCCATCGCCAAGGTTCACAACCAATGTCACTGCATGGCTGAAAACTTTGCAACATATTGGCTCAAATCGCCATGTGACCATGCCATTCAGTGTGTCGTTTTGGAGAAGGCTGCCTTGGCATCTCAATACATTCCAACAAATGATCGAGAACCATTCCTAACCACGAGCTGGCATAAAAACACACCACGTTTGATGCTTGTTTTCCGTCGCATTGTCCAAGGACCCAAAAATGGAATGGTTTTTGCGTGGTTGTCAGTTCGAAGTACAGCGGTTGCATTGTTTGTTCGTGTTCGTGAAGGCAAAACGTGACGACAGCGCAGAGGAAAACATGCATGTATTACAAGAATACATGCTTGCATGCAGGTGAATGCACGCCTGATAAAGGTCTTTCAACACTTTTGCTCACGTTGTACAGCTGTTGAGGCCAAGACAATTGTAAGGGTAACTGTCTTATTGGTATAAATTGATATGTTGCAATGCCACGTTGACAATTTGGAACTACTCACAATGCTTTCCATCTGTAACATTTAGATTCTACACATGTTCTGGCAGGTGGGCAAGTTTGTCAAACAAAAACACGAATAACTGATTGACCTTGGTTTGACCTTGCTTGCGTGTCGCGAGGCATCACCCAAACAGTTTTTTCATACGCATTTTCATTTACCTACCTCTACTTTACGTCCCACAAGCATGCTTCCATTCTAGAAGACTTGCGTGTCACCATCCTCGTAACCTCATCATTCTTCCGCTTCTTGGAAATTGCAAGTGTCTGGCTTGCTGACGCTCCCGTACGGGAGTTCCATTCCTGGGTGCCACATTGCATTCTGCCAGGGCTCCGAACAACATCATGTGGAACCATTGGCAGCTGACATGGATGACCGCTATACTCATTTCATTTCACTATGTGCTGCTTCGAGATTTGCACCCATGAATATCCAAAACCAAATCGCACACTTTCATTTTGCCGTCTCGTACACAATCCTCGAAACCCTGCAACTTAAAAGCCTCTCTGGCCATGTAACATTATGAGAACTGCCATTGAGCGCAGACTTGGATGGGACAAACCCCCTCAACAAAGGTTTGCTGTAGCCAGTATCACGGCAAAATTGTGAGTCACCAGCAATGATCCTGCGGAAATGGCCTATATTGAGTCTTCTGCACGGATGGAGGCATACACGGGAAGCGCAACCCCACATCCCGTACACAACTGGCAGCAAGTCATACGCATCCAAACGCACATAATGCACCGAAAAAGGGTCTAGACGCACGTTGTCAGCTACGCAAACAGAGTAAGAAGAGCTGTTTGAGCATCGTCCTCCAACCAAGCTCCACCTTCAACCACATGCCACATGAATTGCCTGCAGGCCATTGCTGCTGCTTTCCTCCTTGGACAATTCACACAGTTGTACAAAGATTCTGTTCGTCCTCGCCGCAAAATTCCTTGAAAACGTGCCACTCTTGCTATACAAAAAAGGTCCGGACACGTTTTGCACCTGCATCATGAAAACCAAACCCGGCACATGCAACGTGAAGGGAAACAGCGCTTTGCCAGGATCAAACATTGGGTTGTTGACAGGAACTCGTGTCTAGGGAAGACGGTGTGCCCATGCACCGTATTCACTGCAAAATGTAAAAGTTCATGCATCCATATACCCAATATTAGTTGTGCAAAATCACTTCTAATGTGCTGCGTTTTTTCAAGCATGCAAGGTATGTAGTTTTTCTGCACTATCATGTGTTACCAACGTCCTGCAAGCAATGGGAGAAAATCAGCCAAGTCCCCCACAGGTTTTGCTTTGCTTTGCTTTGCGCAACTCCACGTCGTAGTCGACATGCGAGAAGGACTTCACTCATACAATTGATGAGCGGCCATGCGAGGATGGCATCCACTTGATGGTGCGACTCAGCATTAGCTAGGCCGTCGAACATGCATTTGCATGTTGTTCAAACGTGTTCCCTGCACACTGCTAAGTATTAGAACGAGTAAGAAGCACAGCATACACATCACCAGAGATCTCATCAAAATTAGTAAGTAAAACAAGTTTAACTCCATCGTTGCAGTAATGCAGTTGTCCCCTACTGACATTATACAAGAGAGCCTTATAATGCCCCACCGTGATACTTTCGCCAAGGTGCACAGCAAATGCTTGTATGCAATACCTAACACGCTGAACCTCTAACGAACTGTCAACAAACACAGGAAGCATGAGCTCGGTGCACCAAGTCATGGCAGCTCTCACCTTGCTGATTGGTCCTGCAGGGACCAATTTTTGAAACCTGCTGAATCGTAGAGCCATCCATTGAGGCGCTGACACCAAAGTATAGCTGAAAGCTTGTCTGTGCCATTCATCAATCGCATCCTGCAGATTCCATGGGCCAGAAATTGAGATATCCGGAAAAATCATTTGTTCGCAGGATCCCTCATCATGGCAATGAGCGCAGTCGGCCTGAAGGTATCTGGCATTCCACACCCCATGAAAAGGAGAGTCCCCAAACCTGCGCATCAGACGCTGGAAATCATGCTGACGACCTCCGTGTGTCCAGCCCTGCATCAGTGTATGTCAAGGAAAAAGCTGAAGCACGTTGCACGCCTTGCGATGCACTGTAATGGTGCGCCAAGCTTGCTGTCCCGTGCCCAAGCAGTTCACCTCAAGGCCAGTGGATTCAAGCAACCAGGTGATAATGTGAACCAAGGCATTGACGTAACCGGTGTTTCCATTTCCAGCATTACGGAGTTGTAGGGGTGTGGCTGACTGTACAATAGGCGTTCCAGGTGTTTGGCCATTCCGTGTCGACGGCGACTTTCCTGCCGCAACCGGCTCCGAAGCAGTCGAAACACCATGTTGTCGCACAACTTCATCAGGTTGTTGCGCAGCCGTTCTCCAGCAATTCGTAGCGAGGTCTGGATTGCGAAGCACACCTCCTTGCGCGCCGCCATCTGCTCCATGTCCGCTGCCAGGGCCTGAGAGGCTTGGAACTTCTGAAGTGTGAAGTACCCCGGGCTCTTTGATGTCCGCCAAGATTTCGATAATCACGGCCTGCAGGGCTGCTGGTGTCATAGGCTCCCGGCTTGTGGGACGTAATTCCTTCCAAGCTGGGCCCCACTGTTTGTACAGCCAGTTGCCGTTTTCTAGGCACCACCCCGCTTGGCACACCGCCATCATCGTGGCATCGTTGGCTGTCTTCATCAGCCTTGCTTGGAGCTCCGTCATAACGCTCCATCATCAGCACGTTGAGGGGCCTTGTGATCTTTTTGGGGTCCGACTCCTGAAGACACTTCCACTCGGCACTCACCCTGAACATCACTGGGAGGACACCGCCTTGCTCTGTCCCCACAAACCCAGTAAAGCTGCAGTCCAACAGAATGGTCTGACGCGCATCCGCCAACTTCAGGGTTAGCTTGGCAGCGGCTTCGACCAGTTTCCTCAGGTCCACGCTCTGATCCTGGCCCTCCCTTCCCTTTCTTGCCCAGGTTCTCCGACCTGGGCCGTTTGGTGGATGTTGCTTGCTGCCCAGCTTGCAGCAGCGAAGTCTGCTGGTTTGCCTGGACCATTTGACTTTCCACTGGTAGCAAGTGTTGAAAAAACTGAGCTTCCGTTGCAAGCACCATCCGCCAAAGCAAAATCAATGAAGATCGATTGAAAAAGTACGGGGCATTCAATTACATGAGCCCTGGGATCCTTGGAAATGGAACCGCAAAGACTGCAAGGTGAGGTAATGGCTGCATGCTGTTATTTACACAGCGTCTCGACTCGATGCTTGCACTTTCCCCAAAGGTGCTTGTGTGATTTCGCCAAATGCATTTTGACCGCTCTATCGGAAGCACACCATGTCCCACAAAGACAGCACCACTGAGCAAGCTTGGACCTCCACTTTGCATTGTCCACTAGCGTGTGCCATCCATGTGAGCGAACAATGTGTTGTATGTCCGGTTGCAAGATCAGGCTTGTCACTGTGCTCGTCACTTTGGCCCCCGTCTTGGACAGCTGCTGCATCCTGTTCTGGCTTCGTCTCACTCGGCGCTGTTGATGGAAAAGCGCGCATCAACTGGCGTGGGGCAAGCTCCATGCTCGATATGTTTCTGCAGCCTGGCCGATGAGCTGAACAAGAGCCGGCATCCCGAGCATCGTGATACGCCACCTGAAGAACGCAGGAGACGATTGAAAACCATTTGAGCAGTTAGTATGCTTCTGAGATATACGCGATCCCAACACCGTTTTGTTGACACATTCAAGTGCACAGTGTGGGCATGTTAGCATACTTCTGCGAGCTCTATGTTCAAGTTGTAGCTGAGCACTCAGCCCATCAACGAGCTGCTGTCGCAACTGCCCTATATTGGCCTCCGCCTCAATAGGGATGGGGTTGTCACTTGCCAAGTTGTTGTTCCAGCGCTGTAGCTGGCCCTCCATGTTGCGTAGAACGCGGGCACCTGGCTCACAAATCTGCAGCTGCTCCACAACCGCCTGGTTCCTGACATGTGTAATATGCGCTGGCAATCGGGCGATCGCTCTGAGCTGCTTCTGCATCAAGGTTCGGACCTTCTGCAATCCACTGGTGATGAGGCCGCCCAGAGGCCCACACGGGATTTCGAGGAGAGATTACTCTGACTGGTGAGGATGCGGCGGCGGCCGCTCAAACGGCCCGTGCTGTCGTCACCCTGTGATGGACTGTCGCATCTTCAAATGTGTCATATGAGAGCTGCGCCCCTAGGTATCTTGCCTGGCTGCAGATAGGGAACCCGGAGATATCTCTTGCCGTTTCGTACCTCGTCACGGAGAATCTTCTTGGCACGACTGCCCCCGAGCCTAAGGAGGACCTTGGTTTTATCATCGTTGATCTTCAGACCCGCCTTGCCCAGGGTTTCCAACAGACACTCCACGCGTCCGACGGCCCCCCGCAAAGTATTGAATGACTGGCGATACAAAGTATCGTCAGCATAATAATCCAGCACCTGATCAGCTTCCGGGCCAAAAGCTTCCATCAGGCACGCATGAAGCCTGGCTACCACCAAAATGTAAAGCAGCGGAGATAACACGCAACCCTGTCTTAAGCCCCGACATACATTCACAGCAATTTTTCCACAGTCGCCTTGCACGTGGTACCCAGTGATTCCTTTATTCCTTAATTAATTTCAGCTATAATTTTAAAAACAATTACGCCTTAATTAAGAAAGAATTTTAAGAAAGAATAATTTGAAAAAATATTGTTTGACAAAAAATTAAGAAAGACTAATTTGGGCCTATAATATTGTATGACATCGTTTTAATGCGCCCATGGACCACCCCATGTATACATATTAATGATCCATGTATTCCAGATATGTGTGTGGAGATTATTAATTGTTGCCCTGCACATGTTTGAGCAACATCTAGAACATGGATGTAGAAATCCATGCCCGAACATTCAAAACATTTGTGATTGACCCCGCGATATAGATGGATGTTAAAAAATGAAACCCTGTGATCTCCATGAAACCTTAAACCCTAAACCCTAAAACAAAGAAAACGTGTTACGCATGACGTGCCTTTGTGCGAAAATCTGTTCATGCAAAAACTCCGCGGCACATAGTATGTGGTCACAAACGTATACAGCTGCACGCTGCCAGGATTTCCTGCCATGCTATTAAACGTATACAGTTGCTGCAAGGATCTCCTGCGAAGGAGATTGCCTGCGCTCATGTCTGGACCAGAAAAACCAAAACCCACTCACGCGCGTGTGTGTCCATGAATTAATACATGCCAAAAATCACAAAACATGCACGCAAGCTATATCATGAAAACATGAACCCACTGCAAAGCACTCCTTCACTGGGTCCTTCACCATTTTAGAACTCAGGCACTTTGTGCTGCGCACAGAATTTGGTGAGAACATTGAGGGACATGGGCCTAGCGCCTTCAGCGCCTCGCCTTGTTCGACTCATCAAGGCAATTTCGTCGCGATAGGTCCACTAGAGAGAAGGCGAACTTTGCGATTGCTTGCACACGTGGAGCTAAAGGTGGAACTTCGGTTTAAAGCGCCATCGGCCGGACTCTTGGCCAACAACTGTCTCCAAGGTTACAATCCCCAGAACTGGTGAGCTTGGTGGAGGGTGGACGAATCAAAATTTTTCTCTTAACAAACAATGGTAGCAAGCCTGAAGGTGCATTGCAGCCAGCCTGCATCCTTCTCTAAGGAGGAATCATAGCCTTGTAAGAATTTGTCGACTGCAGCCGCCGCCCAATGAATCATCCCTTGCTTTGCCTGCTTTGCCTCGAAGCTGGGAGGATTTGAAAGCAGCTTTGCGAATCATCAAAGCTGTCAAGCAATTGAGGCGACTTTCCACCCTGCTACTAAGCAGCATAATATTCTGTAATGTCTGCAAACAACGGCTGAACTTCAGCATTATGGTCGAACCATCCAACCTGCTGCAAATCAATCAAAAACATGCAGTTCCCCAAGAACTCCTGAAGACCCAGATCAGCTGTGTGAAACCAATTTGATGCAAAAAGTTTTGAAGCTGCAGAAAGGCGCCTCAAATATAGGACCCCATGTCTCCATGTCCGTCAGCAGCGCAAAACAGCAATTTCGGATGTTATTCTACTCTGACATACGAAAAGATGTCCCATCGCCGCGCAAATGAAGAGTGAAAAGCTATGTCCACTTTGATTTTTGCACAGCTTGCGAAATGTCCCTGCGGGAGTTCTGCTTAGGTCCCTCAAGCTGCGTCAGCATTGTTTAGGCCAGAGCTCCGAAAAGAGGATGCAAGAGGCCTTGCAACGCCCATCAAGTTTGACACGTTAAAAACAAAGATGTCCAAC